TAAAATTACTCCAACGATATATTTTTGGGCCCATAAAAATGATGTAAAATTTGATAATTATTCATTGATTTTAATTTTTTTTATCCATGTGGAATAATCTGGCATAATTAAGAAAAGTTTAGCCACTATATAAATATTTTAACTATTTATCAATTTTAATGTCTTTTTCGACATAACTGTCTGAATCATAAAATATTTATTATTTAAATTGATTATATTTGTTATAATTGTTTATATTTGTCGCAATTTGAGAAACTTGAAATAAGCACGTGGTAGTGAAAGCCAAGTTTTGCAAGGGGGTGTTGCATTTGGGAAGATATAATATAATATATTCGCTCACTTATGAATTATCTTCGCTCATTCGAAACAATCGAAGATTTAATAATCGGTTTAACCAATTGATTAAAAGAATTTTTGTGGGACCAATTAATAAAATTTAAAGTCGTTTGAAGAAAAGAAAGAAAGGAAAAAAAACTGGCACTGTAAAATTTTGCTTTTATATAACTATACGATTCGAAATATTTACTATTTTTACTTTTTCAAAGGCTTTCACGAAAGATTTCCCCATCGTACCAAATTAAATTTAGCAGGTTTGCTTCGGCTTAAAAAAAATTATACAATGATAACAAATATTTAAAAAGATCCACTATTTTTTTCTTTTTTTTTCTTTTAATTTCACTTTAATATTAGTTTTGTTAAATTTTCCAGCTTTATTTCGGCGTATTTTCTCCAACTGACAAATATTTTTCAGTAATTGCAAAACATCAACCACTTTTTCATTTTTTCCTAGCTGTTTCAATCTTAACAGATCCTGGTGTTTGCACAGACCTTGAAACGATGAAAGATATAAATGAAATAAAATGAATTCTTAGTTAACTTTAAATTTAAACAGCGAATATATTTTCATAGAAATTACTATTACATGCATGGCTGTAAAATACAATTTAATATGCATTTTTTTAATAACTATTAGGTCTACTAGACAGTTCTGTTCGTGAAAGGGCACACCTCATTTGACACAAATGCAAAATGTTCTTTTATTAAAGAAAGTGGTTAGGTTTTTAACTGAATGGTAATCTTCTAGCTTAAAGTGTGACACAGCAGTCAGTATATGGTGCAAAAGAGCATGTGCATACATATTCAAACATGTAACGAAAATATCTGACAGAATTAAGCGGTACATCTGATTTATACATTTAAGGGTAAATGTCCAACCACTATTTTTTATAAAGGCACCTTTTGCATGCTTGCATAATGGGGCGTGTTTATCCGAGAACAGAATTTTCCGGTAGACCTAATAATAGGTTATGATAATAATAACGTGTTATGTAGGTTTAGTTGTTCAAAAAATTGATTGAAAGCAAATTACATTCATTTTTATTAACTGTCATACCTTAAGATAATACCCTATCAGTTTCTTAAAATATGTTTTAAAAAAAAAATCTTAAGAGATGTAAACTATTCCCGAAGACAATCTTTATTGTAAGAGATGCTATTGTACTTGTACAATTTACAATTCGACTTGAGCTTTTTACTATTCAATTTGTAATAAAATAATTTAACTTCAAAGTTGAAGTCATAAAAAAAAACACTGAAAATAACACTCAAAAGACGGTAATCATTACACTTTTATGTCGCGATATTAATTTCCTCACGTGCTCATTTAAATACAAATCTCAATAACAAAACTCCCTAGGATGTCAAGCCTATTCACTCATTGTCTCGTAAACATAACATCTGCGGAGGGATACTCCTCAAGTTTTCGAAATTCTGCTCCGATTTTTGAATCTTGTTAATTTTTAAACTCATCGGTATTTTGATACATAAGCTTTAGTATCCCTTACAAATATTTTCCGAGATGTTCGTAAAAATTGGTAGCCACCTGGAAAAAAAAAGTTTTTATACCAGAGGCATTGATTTTAGGCGATTTTGGACTCTTGTCCTTGTCAGCAAAAGAAAACATATCCCAACATTCCTCCCCCGCTTTCATAAGAAAATCTCGAACCCCCTTCTCCCGATTTTTGCTTTGACTTTTACTATAGTTATCTAGTTTCCAGGATTTGATTCAAATCAAAATATGTAGTTTTGCATTGAACAAATAGTTAATTCGTTTTGTAAAATTTTGAGTAGAGTTTTTTTACTTTTTGATCTTATTTTTTGAATCTTTTGCGCTCGTTTTGAATCTCTGAAACTCTTTTAAGAAATTTTCTCGTTCAGCAAATTTAACATTTTATTCCACATTTTAAATTTTACCATATGCATTTCAAAAATTTTCTATTTAGATTTTTAAGGAAATTTTAAAATAAGTGGATTTTAATGTTTTACGTAAGCATTGTCCATACCCCTCCTTCCCCTTTATCAGGAAAAATAAGCAAATCACATATCCGTTAGGTGCTTACGTTCTTACGTAATATATTTGAATAGCCCTCCCAGTTTTTTTTTTTTTTTCCTTTAAAAATCAGAAACGATGTCCTGATATATTCAGTTTAATAAATTTGATTTAACCTGCTACCGCTAAGCATCATATAATCTATATATATATTTCTCTTACACGGCGATAAAAAAAAGCCTCATTACAACTCACCGAATGGCAACGATAGAAAATCTACCAATGATTGCTACTAAAAATGTCACATGCCAAATTTAGCTGAGATGGCTCAACATATAGCGCTTTTAAAAACGGAAACTGAAATAACCAGAGAGAGCATAAGCTAGGCAGAAGTGAGTTGTCTTTGTCGACAGATCTCTATTTTAGTATTTTGTCGAAAGCGCTTTTGTTCACGAATTTATTTGACGATTTTTGATTTATATCACGAATTTATTTGTTTTAATTCACTTATTTATAGCCAAAATTTTAACCTTCTTAAAGAGATATCAGTCTTAGAAATTTTATCTTAAGATTTTATATTATAGCACATTTCTAATAGGTTTTATGAATTACATGTCATGAATTAAATGTACCTAAGTTAGTAGCGAGCGAAGCGAGCTTGGTTTGCGAGACAAACCATATAAGATTGCGTAGAAATTTTCGGGGGTTGGCGAGCGTTAGCGAGCAGGGGGCGCAGCCCACTAGTATTATTTATTTCGTTTTCAAATAAGGTGAGTACTTAGCGTGACAACAACCACGAAATACTGAAAATGGTGACAAATATTTTATGAGGCTGATAGAAAATTTAAATATTTGAATTTCTTTTTAATTTTAGGAATTAAATTTATCAGTCTTAAAACTATATATATTTAGACATTTTTTTATTTTTTATTTAGACAGGTTCCAGGTAACTACTTTATTTTCAGAATTTTTAAACATTATATAAAAAATACTATTTTACATATTTAATTAATTAGTTCAGGCAACATTTTAAAGTACTTGGAGTGCAAAAGATCGAAATGAAACAACTGCAGGTTTATGAGCCAGAAAAGTAAATTCGAACTTTATATCATCAGCTGCTAGTGACCGGAATTACTTGACCTTACTGTCATTTCAATATTTAGTATTTTTCCCGAAGATACATTTTTCAAGTCAAAACAATCGATCAAATCTTTAGAATTATAAGATTGTTTCATTTTAAAGCACAATTTCATTTAATATATTTTTATAAATATACAATATATACAAAGTATTCTCTGGAGACTTTTTAAATTTTTTTTAAAACGTTTACAAACCGAGGGGAAAAAAAATCATACTGCATTTTAAAGCACTCGCAATGCAAAGGGTTAATTTCATTCATAGATAGAGTCAAAAATATAAAATCAATGTTATCATTCTGCAAAGGGTTAATTTCATTCTATCAATGTTTTGATTTCCGAAATTTTATCAACCAAAACAAAATATTCGTGATCACAAAAACATACCTACCAAAAAGGTTAAAAAAAAGATTTTACGAAGTGGTAATAAAACAAAAATTAAGTTTGGAAGAATTTTCTAAAAACAAAACTATTAAGTCATCGATAAGCATAATCAGTCAATATTTTTTCTTTTTTTTTGCAATTGATTCCTTTTGATAGTTTAAAATATTTATTTGAAACTTCAAGATTTAATATGTCGAAACGCTAACGTTGCTATCACTAAGAAAATTATTTTTTAACTGTCGTAAAAGTCAGAAACTGGCAAAAGAGATAAATTATACAAATATCTGTATTTTTTTATTCGAAAACTAAAGTGGTAACCAATACTTTAAAAAATATATATATATATAAATGTATGAATTTTTGTCTAGAATAAAAACTTAAAAAATGGAAGGCAACATTAGATAAATTTACTTATTATAACTACATGATAAATTTAATGTAATTAACTACATTTTTCTACCATTGCAATTTAAAAATTGTGACTAACGCTGAAACTTTTATCTGTCCCAACTGAAGATTTTTTAGAACTCAATTTATTTATCAGATTCTTGTAAACTGTGTGAAATTCATGATGTATAAAATGGTGAATTTAAAATGAAGTTTGCCTAAATTAAAATTTAGCTGTTTCCGATGTCAAGTTTACCTAATTAAATTTTTAAACTTTCCTATTTGAATTGTTAATTTTGCCTTCTTGAAAACGTGTGTGGAAAGAGATTTCCTCAAAGTGTTCATCCTGTTCAGAATAAATACTATTAAGGACACAAATTATTTTACAGTATTCTTGTAAGCTAAGTAAAATAGTGTAAAATAGTAGTAGCTTTGTAAAATTAAGTTTGATTATTTGAAATATCAGATTTAACTGTTTCAGTTGTCAAGTTTCCCTATTTGAATTTTTTAATTTATTTGAATCGTTTAGTATGCCTATTTGAATTGTTGCGTTTCATTTGAACTGTTCAGTTTGCCAGTTTGAATTTTAAAATTTACTGATTTAAATTTGAACTATTATTTGCCTAATTGTGAAGTTTAAGTTCGTTTAGATGTATCAAATGAAATATTCAATTCAATGTCTTCCAGAAAAATGTTGAAAAGAAATCAAAATTTATTATTTTTAAATATTTATAATAACATATAAGTAAAAAATAATTACTCACCTAATGGGTGTAAGACCTGCCACCTTTTTATCACATTAAAGCCAACTCTTGACGAAAAATACATATGACGGAGCCCACCAAACAAGCATCCGCTGCGCAAGTCATTCGACACTAAACTGATGTGATATCAGCGGCAATCTCAACAATAAAAAATAAAAAAATATCTATATATCTGCACCACTCTCTACTACCATCAGCACCTAGACAATAAATCCTTCCACACACCCCTTTCAACAACTTTATTCGAATGGGGATCAGTTTAATAAAATAGAACTTTTTTCTGTCCACCAAGTCGTGGCTTTGACAATGGGTAGCCATATTGCCTCCAAAATTTCGTATTTGCAGGGCAAATATGAAAAGGATTATAAATCGTTTTTCATGGGAAGTTTTAAGAAGGCAAAAATATAACAAATAAAAAGTGCAATCCCAGCTGGTGGGTCCTGTTTATTTGCCCGAACCCCTTTCTAAGAAACCCCTATTTGTTTGCAGAGTTTAATACTTGTGGGCATTAAAAAGCTAGCTGAAAATTGGCGATGAAATGGCAGTGTGGGTAGTTGTTATTTTTTATTCAAAGAAACTATGGAACAATTTAATAGCTGTTTAGAAAGAAATACAATACTTATTTAAAAATGGAATGATTTAAAATAAATTTTCTTTGAATAAGGGATGAAATTAAATCGATATAGGATTTAAATTTTAAAAAAATGACTCATTTAGAATAATGTATAAATTAGAATTCAATTCGTAAAATTTGACGAAAAGAAATAAACAATTTAAAAAGCTAATCAAAAAATGATAACGATAATTTATTTTGAAAAGTTTATCAATTAAAATTTTATATCAATATAACTTAAATGAAATGTAATTGTTGAAAGCTTGTAAAAAGAAAACGAGAATTACAATTAAAAACAAACGAAAACTGAAAAAACGATAGTGAATTATTGGTTCGAAATGATTCTTTAGCCCGAAGTAATGTCCTTAAAAAAATAAAAAGTATATAATTATTATTATTTTGTACTCAGGGTTTGATCTGCTTGATTGTGATTTAAATTAGGATTTAAATCGGAATATATATATCTATATATATATACAGTCAAAAATTTTTTTATTCAGAATAGTTTATAAATATACTCTTAAAGATGCGATATTTTTAATGCGTGATTTGATACTGAAAGTTTAATGAAAAGAAATAAGGATATCGTGTAATACATGTAAATTATTATTCGAATTTTAATTATTATTCAAAGTAGGTTAAACAGTAATAAAAGTCTAAATCGCTCATGGCTGCAATAGCGGCACAACTAAAAAAAATCTTGTTTTGAGATAAATGGGTTTCAAGTTTTCATTGCTAAGGAAAATGCATAAGAAATGCTTCAGTTTGCTTAAACGAATATTACCTTCAAGTTGAATTATAGTTGTGCTAGTATTGCTGCTGAAAAGAATGCGTATTTTCACATTTACACCTGTTTTTAGTCCAAAAACATGTGTTTTTTGAGTTGCGCCACTATTGCAGTCCATGAGCGAAATGGTGATTAAAGTTAAGGAGCCTTTCATCAGATGTATGTGAAATAATTTGCTATTTAATAAACCGATTTTAATTACACCAATTTAATTTTATGTTTATTTAAATTTAATTAGAAATACTTATAAAACTTATTAAACATGTATTTTGTGTTTTTAAATAATGATTCTGTTTTTAATAATTGTGTTTTTAAATAATTTAAAATAATTGATTTTTTCAATGTTTTTTTTATGGTCTAATTTAATTTACTTTTCATTTGATATGTCAAAAACAAATAGGGGGCTTCATGATTCATGAAAGTTTTGAGCTTCCATAGAAACAATTAAAATTATTTTTTTTCAGTGATTAGTTCTTAATAATTATATAAATAATCTTTTCTGCTAAAAAAATATCGAGTACTTTAATTAAATATTTTTTTTAAAAAGCATTAAACATTGATATATTTTATCAGAGCTTTGATTACTCTGAATTGAAAATATAAATAAAAGAAAGATAGATAAAAATAAATAAAATTTAAAAAAAACTCTAATTTAAATAAAAGAATTCCCGATTTTTTAAATTCATTTTTTCAAGTTTGGCAACAACAAAAAAAATCTAATTTTTTTTTACCTGATTGTATCAGAATATAAACTTGTCTGGCAAATTTATTTATCTGCTTTTTTGTTTACGTATATGGACACCTGTCTAAAAAATATCAGAATTTGTAAAGTTTAATTTTGTTGAAAATGGAATACTAACCCGTTACTCATACTTCACACTACTATGAAGTATGAATTTTATTCGGAACTTATTAATTGTAGATAGATTAACCTTTTGACACAGAATTTTTATGAAACATATTTTTTATACTTTTTCATTACTTTGTTTTAATTTAGGACAAAATAAGTGAAAAATATTATGTTTGACATTTTACTAATTTATGCTTATAAAAAACAGCATGAAACACCTATGTCTTTTTCTGTGTTAAAGGTAAAATCTTCCTAACACGGCTCACTTACAAATAATAATTTTGCACTTATTTGTGGTTATTTAGATTGAAGAGAAACAGTTATTCATCAATGAAATGTCTTTAATTTAAAAAATCAATTATTGATAAATTTCTGAACTCGAATAAATAAAAAATAAATAAATAAATGTCTATTTTTTTTTTTTTTTTTTTTTTTTTTTTTTTTTTTTNTTTTTTACTTTTTTTTTTTTGATTTTATATTTTGGTAGAAATATAATTCTAATAATCTAACAGATTTTTTAAGTTACTGTTTGACTATTTCTTATGATTAAAAAATACTTTTAATTAGAAAAAAAAATATATATATGGTTAATAATGTATTTAACTATAGTGCTGACCGGTAACGTAACAGACGGTATCAAATTAAATTACCAAATTTCATACAGTTAACTTTAACCTTTGTTGATTCAATGGCGAATGGTTGTATTGAATAAAGAGGCCAATTTTTGATAACAAAGATATTTAATAATAGTAAACTATCAAGCAACAATATGATGGTACGAAATAGGGCTCTCCAATAAGCCACTGTTACTATCATACTGTTACTACCTGGATTAAATGAGGCAAACAACAATCAATCAATCAATAACAAATCAATTTCTAACTTATTGCGTGACAATGCTAGACCACACACTGCTTGAAAAACTGTAACAAAACTACAAGAATTAGTATTTTAACTTCTTCATCATCTACCTCCTATTAACTACCTAATTACACACAATTTTTTTAATAGGAACTCCGAATAATACCGACTGTGCTGTGAAAACTGGTCTTTTAAGAATTTATTGATTCTCGTTTGCCAGAGCTTTAATTCACTGGTTTGCTTAAAAAGCAAAAGTGTATCTACGATAAAGGTGTATACTTTAATGAATAACGCCGAACATTAGTGGGCTAATTTTGCAAAGAAAAAACATCTCAACTAAAATAAGAATTTTTTTTTTTTTTGGAGAATAAATGTCGTCATAGAACTCTTTCTATGGTACAACCCTAATTTTTAGACATCGTAAATGCTCCTTTTCGAATTTTTTTTCCTCGTTCAAAGAAGAATACTCAATGCCTTTTTCACTAAGAATGATCAATATGTAAACTATCTCATAATTCAGGAATTTAGTCGTGAGAAGAATATGTTATGTGATAGTCTACACTAGGTAGAGCTGAAATTACATTTTTAAGAGGGAGATCCGGAATAGGTTGGGTGGAGTAGGAGTACATACTGTAGGATTCTTATCTTGATGTATTGCAAGTAGGTGTCAAGATTTCTCGGTAACACCTGCCAAGTCGTTACATAATTTATCAAATACAATGGATTAACACATCCGTCCCTGCGTTTATTAAGGGAAAAAAAGCAATTTACCCTCTGCCCTCCTATGAACAATGCTGTAACACGAAAAAAAAAAATCAGTGTATATTCAAATGGGTATTTCTGTTGCCTGTTTAATTACGGTTATGGGAAAATGTCTTAGTGCATTCCGTTCATTTGTACTACTAATAAATGACTGGCGTCAACTTATACTACAATGTGAAAGTGCATAATTTTTGTACTTAATTGATGTTTTATCTTATGTACGTAAACGTACTGGATACTGCGAGAAAGTGCAAAATCTGTCAACTTGATTGATATTTTAACTTATGAGCGTGAAAGTGATGGATACTGTAAGAAATTGAAAAATATCTCAAAATTCTAGTGTGTCATGAATTCTACGTAAAAGTGCAAATTCTAGTGTATATTATACAAAATTGCAAAAATCTCTCAATTTAATTTATATTTTAACGAATGAATGTTTCACGAACGTGATGAATTCTACGTAAAAGTTCAAATTCTAGTATATGAATTCTAGTGTGTTATGAATTCTACGTAAAAGTGCAAATTCTAGTGTATATTATACGAAATTGCAAAAATCTCTCAATTTAATTTATATTTTAACGAATGAATGTTTCACGAACGTGATGAATTCTACGTAAAAGTTCAAATTCTAGTATATGAATTCTAGTGTGTTATGAATTCTACGTAAAAGTGCAAATTCTAGTGTATATTACACGAAATTGCAAAAATCTCTCAATTTAATTTATATTTAAACGAATGAATGTTTCACGAACGTGATGAATTCTACGTAAAAGTTCAAATTCTAGTATATGAATTCTAGTGTGTTATGAATTCTACGTAAAAGTGCAAATTCTAGTGTATATTACACGAAATTGCAAAAATCTCTCAATTTAATTTATATTTAAACGAATGAATGTTTCACGAACGTGATGAATTCTACGTAAAAGTTCAAATTCTAGTATATGAATTCTAGTGTGTTATGAATTCTACGTAAAAGTGCAAATTCTAGTGTATATTACACGAAATTGCAAAAATCTCTCAATTTAATTTATATTTAAACGAATGAATGTTTCACGAACGTGATGAATTCTACGTAAAAGTTCAAATTCTAGTATATGAATTCTAGTGTGTTATGAATTCTACGTAAAAGTGCAAATTCTAGTGTATATTACACGAAATTGCAAAAATCTCTCAATTTAATTTATATTTAAACGAATGAATGTTTCACGAACGTGATGAATTCTACGTAAAAGTTCAAATTCTAGTATATGAATTCTAGTGTGTTATGAATTCTACGTAAAAGTGCAAATTCTAGTGTATATTACACGAAATTGCAAAAATCTCTCAATTTAATTTATATTTAAACGAATGAATGTTTCACGAACGTGATGAATTCTACGTAAAAGTTCAAATTCTAGTATATGAATTCTAGTGTGTTATGAATTCTACGTAAAAGTGCAAATTCTAGTGTATATTACACGAAATTGCAAAAATCTCTCAATTTAATTTATATTTAAACGAATGAATGTTTCACGAACGTGATGAATTCTACGTAAAAGTTCAAATTCTAGTATATGAATTCTAGTGTGTTATGAATTCTACGTAAAAGTGCAAATTCTAGTGTATATTACACGAAATTGCAAAAATCTCTCAATTTAATTTATATTNAGGTATTGATTTGTTGTGGGAACATGGAGGACTTTGAGACTCGACAGATTTAACGTGCATCAGTCACCATTTACTACACGGGGAGTCTTCGGCCGGCGAGGATCGAACCCACGACCTCTTGGATATGGGCCCAGCGCCCTACCGACCAGGCTATCCCGCCCCCCCCAGAGGTATTGATTTGCTATGGGAACATGGAGAACTTTGCGACTCGATAGATTTAACGTGCATTAGTCACCAGATCCCAGTCGAGTCTTCGATCGGCTGGGATCGAACCCACGAACTCTTGGACATTGGCCCAGTGGCCTACCAATCAGTTAACTGGAGATTTGTGCTGGATGGCAATGTAAGTTTTGAATATTTTCTAATTTTTAAATCACAAATAATCACCATATTATCGACAAACAGAATTTATCGTCCATCAAAATTTCAATCATCGTCCTTCTAGCTAGAGTGCTTAAATTTTAACAAGGGCTCTGTGCTGGACGACAGTACAAGTTTCATTTGTTCCTGATATACTAATAGAATTTGTCTTGCTTAAAGGTATTGTATCATCAGTCAAAATTTTGATCTCTTACCGACCAGCTTGAGTGCTTAAATTTCAATTTGAGTTTATTTGCTTGATACCAGTACAGGATGCAATTTTTGCTGAAATGGTGCACACAAAATTTATCTTCAATCAAATTTTCAACATGAACTTACAAATTTAAAACTAAAAGGAAAAAAAAAAATAATAATGACATAAAATAAAAATGTTAGAAACTAAATTTTTAAGGAAATTTAAAATAAGAGAATAATTTTGCTTTTGTTATACCTAAAACAAGAAACTTAGTATATGCTTCTTTCATAATGAACTTCTATTATCATCTGAAATAAATTTTCACGTCTTTCAAAAGTGATGTGCCCTACGTTTTACGTTATATATGATAAAAATAAAATTATTTATGCCTTTTTAAACTGCTTTGAAAATATCGCTTTTAAATTTTCATTTTAATACTAATTTCACGTTATAGATAAAAATAACCGGCATAAAATAAAATTTTTACAATATATTGATCTGAATACATTTTTATACTGAGAACCAAAATTAAATAATTATAATAATTATTATTATTATTATAAAAACTTATGACTCGGTTAATGTGAATTAACTGTTTAATAAACAATTTTTAGCAAAAAATGTAAAGAAAATAAATTATAAAATTAAAAAAGTTACGAAAAGAAAAGAGATTTCTTTACGATTTCTCGCAATTATATGATACTGTGTTTCACTACTGTTCGCTGCTTGCCGAGTGCAGGTGGTTATGCTATATTTATCATTAAAGAGAGGTAATGTACAGAGATAAAATTAAATTTTCGTATCCTCCTTACTTTTTAAATTTTAAAATAAGTTCTAAACAAATTGTCATGAGAGAATATATTTCCTGCAAAAATTAGTTGCATGATATATGCATCTTTGCTACCACGATCTGTTTTATTGACACCAACTATCAGAAAGAATTTTATCATGCGATATCGCGTAATCAGCGACGAAATCAAACATTTTGATAAATAGACATATTTTTTTTACAGTTTCAAATAAAGAAAATGCTTAAAAAAAGCATTTCATTTTTGAAATTTGAATGGAATGGAATGGGGACCTTCGCTGAAATGGAGACCTTCGCCTGTTATTTATTTTATTTACTTTTTAAACTCATAAAAATTAAACAAAACGAGAAAAAAAATTTGAATTTTCTTGTGTCCGACTTTCAGAAAAGTATCTATTGAACTGTATAAAAAGGCGCACAAATAAAATCAACGATAAAAGAATGTTTTTATAACATTGAAATTTAAAACAAGTTTTAATTTGATATTGTATATATTTCAGCGATTGATATCTATTAATCTATGAAATTCAATCAATGTTTGAAGTCGCCGCCAAACAATAAAATACACTATTTTTTATTTCGGTGACTTTTGATGTTGTATTTGCTCTGATCTAAAAAGAAAAAGAAAATAATCAATCCATGCTTATTTTTACTTTGTGGTGTAATAATTTGGCTAGCATATTTTAGGTTCATCAAACTATGTAATTAATTAATTTCATTTATTTTTCTTCTCTCTGGTGTTTCTATTTACTCACGTCTATTTCTATTCTTTCATATAATAAATTCTACTATAACACAGAAAAGGAAAAAAAATCTACATTAATAACGCTTTTCTATATTTATTTTTCCATTAACTTAAAAAGATTAATAGTACATTCCATCCCTGTTAATACGTATAAAATTCGACATTGAAATAAACATAAGGACAAAATAATGATGAGAAATTAAAATATTTAAAATAAATCGTAATTTACTTTGCAATATGTATTTTTGTCTCAATTAACAAATTTAGTTCCTTATCCAAATAGAACTAAAATAAAACAAATGATCAAACAATTATAAAGAACTTTATAAATTCAATTAATAATAAAAGAAAACGATAAACTCATTAATTCATCAATTCAATTGATATTTAAGTTTTTTGTCGTAGAATGGCGCTACATCCATCTGGGCCACACTTTTGCCATTTCTGTGTGCATCGATAAAAAAATGCTAGCTTTCTCATATGCTTTAACCTTAAAGAAGAAACTATTAATGTATTTCTTTATGCCCTAATTTTTTTAAAAGAGAATTTATTGATGCATAATATGTTTTTTGATTCAAAGCAATAACAACTGCATCAAGTTGATATCAAAACTATTGTACTGCAACTGCACCATACAATAAAATTAATGAATTATATTTATTGTGGAATTCTTCACCTAATTCAAAATATGCTTTATGTAATACATTTTCTACACATTTTGTATTTCTTATTCATTTGAGTTATCGAAAACTGAAAGAAAAGAGATCCTTTAAGTAGTATAAAAATTAAGGAATTTTGAATAATGTTTTTTCTCTTTTTCTTTTTTTAAAGCACTATTAGTGCCAGCAATGGCTAAAAAAATTTAAAATATTTTTTCTTCCAACTATGAACATGAACATTGCTTTGTAATTTGAAAGAATTGTTAGCAAGTATCCATAATAGAAAAGTTTATGGAGACTTAACTTCTGATATAGCAACAAGCAAAGTTTTACCATATGGGTATCAGCGATTTGAAACAAGAAAGTAAAGAAATAAAAAATCCTTGTCGTCGAAATATGTGAGGAAATGCTGAAATTGGTACTTGCAACTCGAGACGAATATTGCTGCAACCACATGGTTGTGCCTAATCAATGGATCTACTTGGCGCGTTAACGTTGCAGGCATTAGGCTTGGTTTATTATCAGGTTGAATAAATTTTTTCGAATCAGATTCAATTAGATACCTGCTAGCAAAGTCATGTGCCATGCGCGTATGTGTCGAACTTGATTGGCTACTGAATCGTGGCATAAACAAATGCTATGATTTAACCACGCGTGACATTGCATGTCGACATCTAATTTTGAAAAATATACGAAGTCACATGACTTTTAGGAATGGTAAAAAACAAAAATATAAATGGAAGAAATAAAATTAGATGAACTGATTTTTCAGAATTGTTTTTTTAATTTTAATTTTTATTTCCTCGTAATTATTATTTATTTTTTTCGCATTTTTGTTTTCGAAAAAAAAATTGTTGGACTAAGCATATTTTATTTGCACTGTACTTCCTAAATTTTTCCGATGGATTTAAGTAAACATTAAAATTTGAAACATTTAGTGGCTAATGACTCTAAAAACTAAACTTTGTTTCATATTTTGATACATTATTTTTTAAGGAATTTTATTAAAAAGTAAGTTTTTTGATACATTAAATAAATAATTCAGTTATTTAAAGAGATCTAGTTCTCTATCAAACTTATGCAGGATAATTAAATTGTTTCAAGATTTTAATTTCCAAAACAATATTTATTTTAATTTAATTTAAATTGTTTTTAAAAATATGCTTGAATTATAATTCAGTTGAAGTTTTCTTTATTATTTTAAAGTTCTTTTCATAGATTCTTTTTAATTACTTCAAATTTCTTTTTTTAGTTATTATAGATGATAAAAGATAACAAACTTAGATACCTTATGTTTAGTTTTATTGGTTACGGTAATCGAAACAAAAAATCGCTAAACTAATATTGACGCTATTGATAGCAGCTTATTAAAATAATTTTAAATTATGTTTAACATTTTTACGAAACGTAAACGTTAAGAAAGAAGGTATCTAAAATTATTTTCTACAAACACACAGATTTTTGTTTGTAAATTAGTTTCTACTAAACATTTGATAAATATACTTTATAAATCGTGGTGAAATAATCATTTTCGCCAAAGTGAAATATATTCAATCAATTTAGTAACCAATCTAAAATATGTGAAGTCAACTATTTTTATCAAGGTGAAACTCGAGAAATAAAACAAATATTTTTGTCATAATTCATTATTATTTTTTATTTTATAATCGCTGTTGAACAGTAGACCCAATCTTGAGTTTATGATTACCGATGTTCAACTCCATAGTCTTGTAAATTTGAACCCAATCCAGAAAACAAGACAATTAATGGATTAAGTATTCGTAGAAATTTGCCTTCGTGGACTTCTTGGTGGAACTTAATTACGTTTGAGTTACATGGTGACGAAAACCACAAGAACTTCTCACAGTTAGTCTGACGGCATGATCCGTTTACCACTGAGGATGTTTTACGTTAGCACTGTGGTCGGTGCGAACTGGGTGCAGAATTCGTATCGTTCAGCCATCGATGAGATTCAAACCCGGGACACCTCATTGGGAGGTGAGCTCTCAATCCCCTGAACCACCACGGCTCCATTATTTGCAGTTGTCAAAATTTTAGCTGTTATCGTTATCTGTGTTTAGATGTTATTATTATTATGTTATGTTTAGGTGCTATTACTATTATTATTTAAATTGTCTTCATGCCAGTTAATTTTTCGAGCCAAGTAAAGGCACATTAAATCTGTTGTTGTTGTTGTTGTTTCTAATCCCCAAGAGGTCCATCCCAATTAGACCAAATCCATGAGTCCAAAAATGTCCAGAAAATCTAAAAACAGATGAGGTTTTGAAAAAACCTCGTCGATCTTAAAATCGATACAGTTTAGAATATGCTCGGGCGAAGCCTGAGCAGTCCTACATTTAGTGCAAAGTCCAAAGGTCTTTTGCCCCTGAACATACGAGAGACACCTCAAGTGACCACTTGCAAAGCGAGATAAACAAGTCTGCTGGCTTCTAGGTCCCTCAAAAAGCAAGGCACTTCCAGGTCGTTTGTACAGGGGAAAATGTGACAGCTTCTGTAGGCCGAAAGTGACCTGGAGCACCTAAGGTAGAGGACTGATTTAGCTCCATAGTTTCACCTGCTAGCATTAGCTGGGCATAATGGAATGGTCTTCACGCCTAGGGTGGCCCTACCAGGAGCTAAGCTCTCGACGTACTTCGCCCATTCCGCCCAGTGACACCCCCTCGCCACGGTGAAGCATTAAATCTTCATGTATTTAAGATGAAAACCGATAGCATGTGCATTAGATGTCAGAACAATGAACATTTTAGGTGTTATGTTTTTATCTTAATTTTAAGAAGAATGTCTCATATTACGATTTTTCCCCTCCTAAAATATTCAAACATCCGTGCCAGTACCTTTGAAAAACTTAATTCCGATGTTTTATTTTGTAGACGTTGCAATGGGGAAAGCGTGTTCCAAATTTATGAAGAAATATATTTTATGCTTATGCATCCAAGCTGAAGAATCTGAAAAGGAAGAACTGATTGATGATGAAAACGTGGAGGACCTCGTTGATGAAGGAGAAATGGCACAGGAAAGAACGGAGAGTCCAAAAGTAGCAGAAACTGCGAAAGTAGCAGAAACTCCAACGGTATCAGAACCTTCAAAAGTAGAAGACACTTCAAGAGAGACATTAATTCCAAAAAGAGTAGAAAGTCCTACGGAGAGTCTACTACAGAAACTATGGGGAGTTAGTAGAGAATCAATTCGGGATGGAGAGTTCAAAGACATATTTGAGTTGTTCGACTATTATTCAGCATTTGCAGGAGATGTAAAAGGAGAGATAAGTTTGAGATCCGTAGAAAAGTGGTTTGATCAAGCAGGATTGTTCAGTCATACTAAAATTCAAAAAGACGACACGGCTATTATTTATGCGAAAACTACTAGGTTCGTTACATTTTGTTTAAAATATCATACCAAAGAACTCCACACATTATGTATATGCTGTTAGGCATACACATACATATTAACAAAAGTGGATCAGCATCCAGCTAATTAAGATAATCTTCTTTCATTATTTTAGAATTTGATTTAAAGTTAGAATTGTATTTTTATTTTACAGTGTATTCCGTAATGGAACCTTGATACATTTCGTATTCTTTATTGAAATATAAACGATTAGTTAACTACTACACTAATTAATTAGATTTAAAATTAGAATACTATTTTTCTTTTACAGGATGTTGCGTAATGGGACCCTTGATACATTTTGTATTCTTTAATGAAATATAAACGATTAGGTAACTACTACACCAATTAATTAGATTTAAAATTAGAATGCTATTTTTCTTTTACAGGATGTTGCGTAATGGTAACCCTTGATACATTTTGTATTCTATAATGAAATATAAACGATTAGTTAACTACTACACTAATTAATTAGATTTAAAATTAGAATTCTATTTTTATTTTACAGGATGTTCCGTAATGGAATCCTTGATACATTTTGTATTCTTTAATGAAATATAAACAATTAGTTAACTACTACACTAATTAATTAGATTTAAAATTAGAATGCTATTTTTATTTTACAGGATGTTCCCTTGATACATTTTGTATTCTTTAATGAAATATAAACGATTAGTTAACTACTACACTAATTAATTAGATTTAAAATTAGAATGCTATTTTTATTTTACAGTATGTTCCGTAATGGAATCCTTGATACATTTTGTATTCTTTAATGAAATATAAACGATTAGTTAACTACTACACTAATTAATTAGATTTAAAATTAGAATGCTATTTTTCTATTACAGGATGTTGCGTAATGGTAACCCTTGATACATTTTGTATTCTATAATGAAATATAAACGATTAGTTAACTACTACACTAATTAATTAGATTTAAAATTAGAATGCTATTTTTATTTTACAGGATGTTCCGTAATGGAATCCTTGATACATTTTGTATTCTTTAATGAAATATAAACGATTAGATAACTACTAAACCAATTAATTAGATTTAAAATTAGAATGATATTTTTATTTTACAGGATGTCCGCAATGGAATCCTTGATACATTTTATATTCATTAACGAGATATAAGCAATTAGATAACTACTGCACTTATTAATTAGTATATTTAGGTTAGGCCTTTGCACCATCAAGAAAGAGTCTTATTATGTTAAAATCCGAAAATTTGATCAACATTTATTCAAGATGTTTACTTTGCACAGTGCATCTGTCATCTCTATTTGAAAAAGAAATGGTAGTTTCTAAAAGTTATGGTAGCTTTAAAAATTAACGTGGCCAAACATCTGAAATGAAAATTATTTTTCTGAAAATTAGTATGTAGAGCACTTGGGAGAATATTCATTTCGAGTTTGATAACTCCTATAAAATTCAGTGTGAGCTTTGTAAGTTGCCAAGTTTGTTCCCTAATATCTGCAGAACATAAGTACTAATGAATGCTATGTGAAAGCTCTGAATTACTTTCGCCATAGTTCATCTTTTAAGGTAGAACATCTCTAGAGATAAATTAGAGTTCGGAACAGCAGAAAGTTTCGTATAATTTGAGCTTGAAATTTTAGTTCATGGGACAATAAATGACTGTTTTAAAAAATAAATTTATTCCAAACTTTAGGCTGATGGCTTTATATATTTTTAATTTTATTAAAAAGTCTTTTTTTTTTCTAGTCCAGGTCACAAAATGTCCGAGAAAGAATTTGTTGAAATGCTTCGAATGTTGGCCAGGGAAAAAGACATATCTTTATCAGATATCAAAGGAAGATTGATTGCTGCAGGGAAACCAAAAGTTTCGGGAATCATTGTAAGTAATATTAATTTTAACTTCATCGAGAAATAATTAAGTTACCTAAAACCTAGTGTGTATAGCTTTTTAATGAGAAATTTTTTTGTGATGATAGAAATTTATTGCTGCCAACTTAGGTAATTTTGTCTCTTTTTTAAAAAAAAAAAAAAAATGCAGGTAAACAATACCTATATAACTTTTATTAAATTTTATGCTGATTTGGTAATTTATCTGAAATCTGGATATTCATTTGAGGAAACGTGTAATTTTCTGACCAATTAAGATGTCCACAAGTCAGAGGTTAAACTAGATCAATATTCTCCAATCATTAAATCAATTTCCGTTTGCACTATTCTTATAGAACGATTCGTATTGCTATCACGATAGAAACTTATAGTTGCCTCTGTAACTGATTGATCATTGATCCATTTCCAGTGGATAGGTAAGAGAAGTGACTTCAACTTAGACATTTCTATTAGAATTCGCCGACAACAATAAAAAGTGGTTTTAAGCCATTCCATTTTTTTTGTCACGTATTAAAATCTGCTATAAAATGTTGACCACCACGATATATAAATAATTTAAACATGAATATTAAAGTTATTACAATTTATTGCTGAAATAATTTCAGGCAGGGGTATCTGCGGAAACTGTTGACAAACTGACGAATCCTGCCTTATTCAAATCTCCTCCAAAGGAATGATACGAAGAAGTGAAGCAAATATCAAGAGAAGCAGCAAAATGATGGGTGTAAAAATGTGTTACTATTATCAAATTGTTATTAAGTGAAAACTTTTATTTTATTATAATAATGATTATTTCAAATAAATTCCTAAGTTAAAAAAATATACATTTAAATTAATTTCTTTCTTCAAAGATATAATTTTTACAAAGATTAATAAATTACAATTTTGCCTACAAACACTACCCTTTTTACACACTACCATAATAACAGAATCTTTGTGATATGTGTTGTAAGAATCATTCACTTACAGTAGAGTACAATAACCAGGGACAATAGCCCAAATATTCAAGCCCCTGGAATCCAGTCAAGCGGGCATCTAATCGACAACTAAGTTTCCTGTTAAAAATACTTGGAGATCCCAGCTCAGGTGCTATCCACGTCGTCAGATTGAGATTGAAATTACATGGCGCTTCTATCAGAAGATAAAAGCCTAAAAACCAGAGCTACATGGTGGATTATGGTTCAGTAGTAGTGTATTTGCAATTGAAATTTTGATTAGGGTTAAGATTACATATTTATAACTTCAAATCACGATAAATGTAAATTTATGATTAATTGTTATAATAATTTAAACTCTGAAAGATGGGCCTATACCATCTTTGACCATTTTGAGATGTAGAACCTTAAAGATATACGTAGGCAAGAGTGAAACCTGCATATGGTGACCACTTGTTAGAGACAACTATTTCATGGCACATTTAGACAAATGGGCAGTTTATAAAAGGGAAATTTAATTGTTTTTGACAGTTTCATACTTAATCATTGATATCAGTTTTGACAGGTGAACACCTAACAAAGGTGGACAACTTAATAAGTATATTTTAAATATTTTCTCTATATTGCTTCTAATTCTCTTATTTCCATGATATATTCCTCATCATCATTGGATGCGTTAGAAAAAGATTCTACCTAGCTAAATTGTAGGCACAGTAAGACCTGTGTAGGTTGAACACTTGTTGGACAACAATTTGATAAGAGTATAAGCAGCAACAACAGCAGTATAACTTCTATGACTCTAAAGGTGAGGTTAATAATCAATTTTTAAGAAATGTAATTAGCTCATTTTTCAAAAAGCCTTCAATTAGGAATAAGTAAATTAATAGTTATTAATCAAGTTTGCTAGTAATTTATTACTACAGTTGGACCCAGGGACCGACTTAGCCTAATTGAGGCACGGGGCAAAAACTTCTTTGGGGGCCCCCTCGGAACTATATGAAGGTATTTAAATTTTTCACCTCCTTACACATATATAACAAAAGAAATTGACTAGAATAATCCTCTAATATTATCGTTCTGTTCATTTTATTGATTTTCTGACAATTCTATGTTCATTATGCCGAATACAGTTTTCTGATTGCTAACTTTGCCATCCAGCTGCGAAAAATTCATATCCTTGCTGACATTAGGGCGGAATTCAGCTAAATTTTAGCAATTACGATGGCTCACTTAAGCAAATCTGAAGCCTGTATTTTTATAAAATATCACATTTTGCGATATATAAAAATACAGACTTTTGATTGACCAAATTTGTCCATCGTAATTGAAAAAATTCAGCTGAATTCCGCACTGTAAGCCATGGATTTACGAAATATAGATTTTTTGTGCTCAAATGATACGATAGATTAAAGAAGAAGCTAATATAAAACAGACGGATTTTGCTCTATATCTTGCTTTAAAAAAGTTCATTAAGGGAGGAAACCTAAAATAAACTTTTAATTCTATTTGGGGCCCCCTCTGATGTGGGGCTCGGGGCAACTGCCCCGTATGCCCCTGCCTCTATCAGACTCTGGTTGGACCCCGACAATGTGAACCAGATGCGATGCTAGCAATAAGTCCATGAAAAGCGATGTTTCACTTTATCCAAAACCTTTGAAAAAATATTCAGTACTAGTGGGCTGCACCCCCTGCTCGCTAACCCCCGAAAATTGCTACGCAATCTTATATGGTTTGCTTCGCTCGCTACTAATTTAGGTACATTGCAAATGCACAAAATTCTAAAAATTCAAAACAATCCATATAACAACTTTAAAAAAAAAAATTACATCTTTTTAGAAAATACTAAGTCATTAAAATAAATTTGAATTCAAATAAATGACAGGTAATTCGTTAAACCTATTAGAAATGTGCTATAGTATAAAATCTTAAAGCGTAACAGCACGACTGAGACTCATTTTTCAATGAATAACTAATAACAATAATAAAACAAATAAATTCGTGATATAAATCAATCTCGTAATATATAAATTCGTGAAAAAAAGCGCTTTCGACAAAATATTAAAAATGAGATCTATCGACAAAGACTACTCACTTCTGCCTAGCTTAATAGTATGAGATTGACGCAGCTGATGCTCTCTGAGGTTATTTCAGTTTCCGTTTTCAAAAGCGCTATATGTTGCGCCACATCAGCCAGATTTGGCATGTGACATTTTTAGCGGCGATCATTGGTCGATTTTCTAGCGATGCCATTCGGGGAGTTGTAATGAGGCTTTTTTTTTGTCGCCTTGTAAGAGAAATATATATATAGATTGTAGAAAATAGTGATTGAATTATTTCCTACATAAATTTGTGGAACCTCTCTATAACGAAGATTCTTTACAGCGAATTTTTTTTATAACGGAATTTAGAATCGAAACATTAAATAATGTTCAAAATATTCGTCATAGAACAAAGAGGTTGTATTCTTGCAAAAAAAAAAAAGAAAAAAAAATAAATAAATAAATAAATAAATTCTGACGTTATTTCTTAAAATTTTTCAGGTGTTTATATTTTCGATTTCCGTCGTTTTTAAAGAAAATTATAATTCTAAGTTGTAATTCTATGCAACCAATTGCTCTCCAATGTACATGTTTTGGAACCTCTCGCCAAATTTTTCCTACGAAATGTTTCATTTTAGATACATCTTTATAATGTGTATAACTTCATTTCAAATTAAAATTAATAAATATATACTTTTGAACTTATCAGATCGACAAAGAAAAAAAAAAAAACTTGCTTCATTTACTTAACAGCTAAAAAGAAATTTAAGTCCATACTGTGTGGTTATATCAATTCGAATTATGTGTTGAAAGCCACTAAAAATTTTGCGAATGTTTACTTTTACTTTATTTTAAGTTAATACCGAATCGAGTGTTTTTTTAAATTTTTTATTACTTTTCAAAGGGTTTAGTTAAATCATAACACCAATAACTGATAAAACCTACGCTAGTAAGCTTAGATGATTTTACTCCATTTATGGTTGGCGACAGGGTAAAGGACGCGTTGTTGTATTTGAGTGCTTTGTAAATTTTGGAAAATATTGTGCTAGAAGTGATATAATCAATAGCAGAGGATCCCAGCTACATATTATGAGTGAGTTTAGCAAATTATCAACTTTATTTTTATAAAATTTTTGATCTAAGATGGCGAACACATCGAAACCTAACTAGGCTTAGCTTTCGCTCCCAGTAACTACAAGGGAGTAATTTCCAAGATGATAGTCGATTAATTGCCAAGTAATTTCTATCTTCTTTTTGTATTGAGACGGCAAAATGATTATAGCTTGTTTAATAGTGAATTAGACTCAATTCTCTTTTCTGATTGCACAAAAATATTGATTGTGGTAGATTATTTGCCTAGTTGTTTCAATTTTGTTGGCTTGATTACGCAAATTACTCATGTAAACTGTCATAAAAGGCAGAGTTGGCCGTTGATTACAGTAATCGATTACAACTGTAATTGATTACAGATAATTACNTGTCATAAAAGGCCTGTATATGTTTAATTATATTATAAGAATGTTTATGAGTGTTCCCATAAGATTCACAAATTTACATAATCTGCTAATTATATTAAATGATTTTATAATATCCAATTTCTATTCATTTTGTTTTTGCTAAGCCTAGTTCGAATTCATTTTAATATTTTTTCTGTGCTAGGAATGTTCGGCTAACAAACTAATTTTATTTTAAGAAATGTTGCATAAATGCATCCTGAGTTAATGATTCTTATTTTACATTGTATCGTAGACATAACTTTACAGACTCTTATGTGTATTATACCTTACAGTAATTGGAAATTTTAGTGCTATTGGATAACAAAAATGGCGGTGACTACTAAGCACCAATTAGTGTGAGAGAACATTTTTGTTGCCTCGCAACACTAGAAACTATCATTGATTCTTATTTTTTTTTTTTTTTTTTTTTTTTTTTTTTTTTTTTTTTTNTTTTTTTTTTGATTTTTTTTATTGAAATTACATACATTTGCTGACTTGTGTGCTCAATGTAGGCTTATAAGTCATTGTCAAGTAGAAAATACAGATAGAACAATTCAGAGAAAGACATCACAAAGAATACATCCAGGGTTACGGCGGGACCATTGATTCTTTGTGTGGTGGAACACGACTCTTTGGCGCAAAGTAGTTGCCACCATTTTTTGCATTGGGCGTTAATTTTTACAGTCCACTGAGAATGAGTTAATAATTTCTCAGTTGCTCTCTATGAGCATATGAAATAACATTAGTTAAATAGCCCGGTATCATTAAAAAAGTTCACTTCTCCAGGATTCGTTATTTATTAGGGACATAGGAACTGTATAAAGTTATTATCTCTTATTAGTTACTATTGTAATCGTTGATCAACTCTGATTTTCCCTTCAAAATTATTTTCTTAATCTTTCAATGCTCTTATCTCCGTGACGTCATCACCCTGGAAGCGCAAGAGAAAGATTCTACCTGGCGGGAAAGGTTGCACATGTCCATGATGAATCATAATTTCGTTCACGCTTAGAAAACCCGAAAGCGAAACAGTAGTAGGTGTTTCCAAGTTTATCAGAACGAAAAGTACCGGTGATGAGTAATTGAAAGGATTTTTCTTTTTCTCTTATAATCTTTTTACGAAAACACATTTGCAGAGTCTCGTGGAATACATTTTTAGCTCTGTCTTTTACGCTTGGGAAATTACGGATCGGCTGTGTTTCTCTTTACTGAGATTTGTAATCAAGGCAGAGCAGTTTTTGCTGTTTATTTAGGAAATGTGATGAAGTTAAAAATATATACCCTGGCTGAAATGCATGATGATGGAACTTAAATCTGAAGTTTTATTACTCAAAAAAGATG